GAACGAGTACTCACAAGGTTCGGCTTCCGTCATGGCCAGGGATGGATCAGCTTTGGAATGAAGTCTTTTTGCTTCCTTCTCTCGGTGTGTTTCTGTGAGATCGAGTTTCTGTCCACTGCCACTGCCACTGCTCTTATGAGAATGTAAACTGAAGCCAGACGAAGTCTTTGCTCTTTGGCGGTTCCCAGGCCGCTCTTGATTGCCCGGGGGCGAGGGTAGCGGGTGATTCTGGTTTTGCATATTTCTAAGTATAAGTCGATAAGTGGACAGTGATTGTCGCCGTTGTGGGTCTATTACAACTTTTATCAAGATATTCTGAGCCTTATCGTCGTGAAACCTGGGTGTGGTGGAGTAATATCGAGAGATTTGTAGGGATATTTGTGGAACTCTGAAATGAAGTTGGTCCTTTTGGTCTGAGTCTCGGTCGTGAACGTCAAAAGTAGGTGGTTGGGAATTTGGTGGCTTTATATCAGAAGTAGATATCCGTTTCACAATGTTTGAATTAAGCTTGATGAGAATTAAAAACCTGATGTTTTGATCAATGGAACGACGGTAGTGGATAGTTTGAAGACGATCAAAAATGCGTTTGATGTTAAGCTTTCTTCCCAAAAAAATAATCTGCCGATATAACGATTGATGGTTTCGTATGATGTGAATCAGAACTTTGATCGAAAGTACTGCAACGAATGTTTTTTTCCTTTTTCTTTTAGGATGCCCGATGAACGCAGATTTGTTTATGTTTGTTTATTTGCCCAGCTTTTTTTCTTCAAGCCTTCACAAGTGCGCACCTAATTCGTAGGTAATAGGAAAACGATGAATTGAGATGAATAAACGATTGATGATGATTTAGAAAAGAATCAAAAGTGTTTTTAAGAGAACAAGAAAAGGGAGAGAGATAGAGAAAGAGAGAGAGAGAGAGAGAGAGGTATAGAACAAGAGTACGACTATACGTACTTCACGCGGGGAAAGAGAAAAGTTAATACGAAGCATTCAATGTTATTCAGCCACTGGAGGGGGATCTTGAAGCAAAATCGATATTTATCATCCATCAATGGATTCCATACTAGGCAATGAGAAAAAGTATAATATTAGGTATTTAGGGTGTTTTGATGACGAGGAGCTCTTGTCCAAGTTGTCTACTTGTTCGAACCAGTGAGTAAAGCTTTTCGGAATTCGTATAGCTTCCTTGCATCTTGAGATATCACACCTACCTATCTGCCTACCTAGGTCTCTACCTAGCACACAGGTACACTTTTGATTCGTTATTCAATCGTAAGCCAACAGCAAATCCAATGGACGTCGCAAGCAATGCTCTGTATGTTGTCCTACCGTAGTATCGTACGAAGTCGATACGTCTCTCAATGGGAATGGCTTAGATGAAAATCTTTCCATCGTCACCAATGAGATGGTGTTCGCTCATCGGAAACTTGGTTTGGATCCGAAGTCCAGCGATACAACAATGGCCATTGCGACAGGAATTCGTATGCTCTTTCGTGACCAGGCAGGGATGCAATCATTGCAATGCAAAGGGAAAGATAGGAAAAGGATACCTCCCTAATAAAAGTGGTGGTGTGGTGATATGAATTGAAGTGTATCAAACGATAAAAGAATGATCTACCCCTAGTCCTAATGAAGTGATTTATATCCCAGATAAGAATCTTCTTTTGATGCCGTGCGAGTATCAGTGATGCATCTGAGATTCTGGGATTTCTGGGATTTCTGGGAAGTTCTGGTGCATTCAAAGCTTCGAACCAACGCAGAAGAAGTAACGGTGTTCCATGGCTACTTAATAATAATGCCGTGAGAACCTGGAAGAGAGAATATTTCCTACATACTACATAGGTATTCATTCTCATTCTTATCCTTAGTCACATTATTAAGTTATTTTTAGTTTCATTTTCATTTTCATTTTCATCACAATTCCATCACAATCCCAAGATCAACATTGCCGGATTCTCGTTTGCTTTACCTAGGTAGCGTAACAACACAACGGAGACTGCCATGTTTCCGAGGTTTATCTAACGATATAATACTCTATATATATAGAGATAGAGAGAGTACTACTCTAGATACCGACCTGGTACATCGTAGTTGGCGTTAAAGTTTTAATAGTAACTATCTCGAGACTTCCTAGTATCTAGTAGTTTTCACCAACAACCCCCCTCCCCGCCCCCCATCCATCTCTTGATTCTCTTCGAGACATATTTCAAAAGTGTAAAGAAATAATACCACTTCAAATGTATCAGTCACTTTAAACAGCTATCAATGCCAATATTACACCACGCAAGCCATACCTGAACCCAATGCATCTTATCCCATCCCAATTCATCTCCATCAGCATATAGACATATCAATCCATCCTGTTTTCATTTCGCCATCCATCCATCTACCGTATCTCTCCATTCATTCACTGATTCATTCATTCATCCATCCACCCCAAGAATTTCAAGAATTTAATGGAAGATCAAAAAGAGGACGCCCCCCACAAAAAATGGTGGTGGCTGAAGAACTACTAGCTAGGTAAAGACACAAACTTTCTTTCGTCTCCGCGATCAGCTCATCGGAAATCGGAACTCTCGGTATTTGCCTGGTCTTGTCGTCTACCTCCACGCACAATCAATTTGGGCATATATCGATCTATCTTCCCGACTCATCTACCCTTCAAAGCAATGCATGCAACGACAGCTGAAATATCATGCTACTTAATCCTACCTTGATCTACCTACCTGCCTACTACTATATGCCACGCTTTTTTGTCCTCACTTTCCCAACTCGGTGATAATAAAACAAAGTAGCTTCAGGTTTCACATAGTGAAGGCTCAATAGACATCTTAACTGGAGGGGCGGGGCGGTTAGACTTTGAAACTCGTTATATGTCTTGATAACTACATGCAACTAACTCGAGAGTGGTTGAGCCAAACCTTCGTGTTCGATAAGATTTGTTCCATACCTATCTGTACATCTCCATGCTCGAGACTCTTCATGAGATGATTGGGAGGAATGAGATCAAGATAAGATCGTATTTTGATACATAAAGCACTAAGAGTACATAAATGTGGGATACTCAGCTTGTGTGATATCTGTGTTTCGAAACCTGCGGCTTGTATTCTACGGGTGCCGTGAAATGTGGTATTGATACATAGAGCTGCGTGGGGGACATGTAGGTTGAAGAATTGGAGAGGTAAATGAGATGCATGAACATTGAAGGATGGGTGGATGGATCACTGCTAACCTAGCGGATCAAGTCTTTGGGATGAGACCTATGGATCACTTTGGTTGGGGGTGCGGAGTCCGTAGATTTGGGGTCCCGGTCAAGTACCGGTATTATATTTCACTACTCCATCTTGACGTCAAGATCCATCTCTATGGTGCGTACCCAAGTCATTTTCCATGTACATGGCAGGACTGTCAAAAATCACTGTTATCAAGAGCACTACTTTGCCTAGAGTCTCAAAATCGAAATGTATGTTCCCAGAAACCAGTAAAACGTGCAAACCATTGTGCCAAACTTCGATTTTCGTTTTGAAAGCATAAATGACATGGGTAAGACCAAAAGATTCAGGAGCACATCTTTCCGTGTCGTTCTGGGTGTAATTGTGAAACCTTTGATCGATAACTCCTGTCTACGTCTAGTGAAGATTTCCACGACGATCCCATATGCACTTTTAATCATATACCCATGCGGCCATTGTGGTGTTGAATTGCTTAATTGGTATACTACCCGCAAGGCTGTGCTCATTATTGCCGCCCTCTTCGAGTGCCCAAATATGACATATCATCAACCATCCTCCCAGTCCATGCTAACAACTCCAAACCAACCATTTAGACCGATGATGGGTACAACATGATGCGAACGGATGCGCCGAATGACTTAGGTGGGAGGTTTTGTCTGAATCTAGCACGTACAACACCGGAGTTTCCTTTGGCACAAATTAGTATTTGATTCTCAGCGAGAAGCACATCGGATTCCTCATACCGTGTGGTCTAGCGATCTTTCCCCAGATAACTCTAATCTTTGATCCTCTAACCTCCTTTGATGCACGGTAAACGAAAGCAACCTTCTTTCCGCAGTAGAAGCTGTTATTCTGTTAGAATCGAGAAATGTTCCAATATCGTGATATAACCTACTTGGCAGCCTCGGTGTTGTTGACACCCTCGATTTGGATCAAGCTGGTGCCTGGGGTAGTGTTGCGCTTGCCGCGTTGGTAGCTCAAATGGCGTCCCCTGAAGATATTCATATCAGTATGTGTCCGATAATTCAAGTCAAATAATCCATCTCAATCAAACAATCGAATCCGTAAGTGTGTTGTCGAAACCTCCTCTCCGTCAATCTCTGACCCCTGTCCTACTTCCAGCCTCCATATCGCTATTCGAATCCAGAATATGCTCGCTGATCGGAATGAATTGTAAACTTACTTAACATAGACTAAAAGCATATAACAGTCAGCAATTGATTCAAAAACAAACCGCGGCCTTGCTTAGGTATAACAAATTTGCCTTCGTCTTAGGAAAAATGCAACTTCGCAATTTTCCTCAACTACTTCCTCCTCTCCAAGGTCCGCACAGCCAATGCTATCTCGAAATCAGGGTTACTCACGTCTGTGTCCGGCGTCGGTAGGCATTTTGGCGAAAGTCTCTCGTGGATTTGAGAGGGAAGACTTCGTTCGGTTTGGCGTAAATGGTTGTCGGCGTCGAGGATGTTTTTTTCGTCTTTCCAGAATGCACACAATTCCTAGAAGTTTAGCGAAAAACTAGGGCTGCCGGGATATCTGACTAAGCACCTCGAAGCGTGATTTATTGTTCTCTGAAATTTAAGGTATCAAGAAGCGGGGATTTTGAACGGAAGAATTCTAAGAATAAGTTCCGATGTATCCATTTCGCAATCACATCATCATCATCATCATCATGGGACAGCAAACGAAAAAAAAAAAATATGTTAACGTCGCTATAGTTTGCAAAGGGGACTATGCGAATTGTCAATATTAGACATTGTCGAAAGCATGTCGGAGGTTATTTTTCCAGTTACTTTGAAGACCAGGTTCCCTTTCTTTCGCACACTCCTCTCAGTCCTCTTTGGACAACAAGATGAGCATAGCAGTGTTGTAGAATCCAAGGAGGTAGCGGAAGAAAGTAAGAATGTACAGAGTAAAAAGGTAAATTTATGTCTATTCAGTCGATGTTTCAAATCCCGAGACGAATTTCCCGAGTTTGCTTGGTGAGAATTCTTGAGTGAACTGATGATATTGATGATCGGTGGAGTATTTTACCAAGGTAGGAGTGGATGAGGACCGGCCGAAAACTCTCCTCTCTCCAAAGTACCTATACGATTGTAATAATAATCCAAATGAGCTGGAACGGCATACCGCAAAGACATCCATCCGTCAAATCATCAAAGCCCCGAGTACGGAAGCACAGTTCTAGAGCCCCAAGCGACCATGAAATGCCAATTTAGCCATTCGGGTTATTGCCTCTCTTTGTTTTGATAGCAACATTACTTTCGTGGAAAATGGCTTCAGGAGTCATTGTCAACGTATAACAATAGAGTAACACTTTGGGGGAGCTCCTTGGAGGGATCTACGGGCATTTTGGTAAAGATTCACCGAGCATTACCATCAGTACTATGCAACATGCTTTATAATCGGACCCGTAAGAAATCGAAGCCCCCCTTCCCAATCTTCCAAAGAGGGCATCGGTGATAAATGAGGGGCGGTCGGGCCTTGTCAAGTAGGTACAAGGTATTCTGGAACTTGGAAGGTCGAAGATAGATGGTATTGGATGCTATGGCTCTGGATGTGGATGTGGATGTGATGGCTGTGGATGACCATGACTATGGCTATGGCTCCCAAGGAAAGCTCTATAAAAGCTTCACTGTGATGAGATAGCAAGAGTTACATCGTTAACACAAGACGTCTTTCGAGTTCCAAAGAGTGAATGGAATGTAGAATCATGTTCATGAAAAGAATGCATGTAATCCAATCAATATGTATGTAAAAGGGTCGAAAATCATTGGGAAATTCAAAAGGTTGGGTTGTGAACCAGGTACTTTAAACATAAGACAGGTCTGTTTTGGGTTCGGAGGCTACCCGGAAATACTTCTCGTCCGTCATACATCCCATCAATCTTAGCGGGGTCGAGTCTTTCATCAAAAGCGGACAAACCCAACATTTTTCTTGAGCTTCTTCTCAAACTTTCAATCCCTCTTCACTTAAAGTCTTGTTGATCTCCAGGAAAATTTGATTGTTTCTCCCTTTCTCCCTTTTTTCACATATCGCAAACAATACCTACAAAATGGCCGACACTGTTATCAAGCCAGAGGAGTCTGGCAATGCTGGGTAAGTTGGCTCCTTTCTTCAACCAATGTACTTCACGGCAAGGGCATTCACATCAACAAGACTCATCACATATTCAAAATGTTCACTCTAAGGGGCTAACCCGGGTCTCTCGGACTGTGATGAATTTCTTGCTTTCCATTCTCTCTCTGGACATCTCAACCCCATTTCATCCGAATAATGACTGATTGCCTTGCCCCACTACAGATCTCTCGAACTGAAGGACAACACTGTTATCATTGTTTTGGGAGCTTCTGGTGATCTTGCAAAGAAGAAGACTGTAAGCAAAATCCTCTAACCTAGATTACTTTTCTTGCTAACATGTGTGATTGTAGTTCCCAGCTCTTTTCGGTCTCGTAAGTGGTGCAGAATGCCTCCGGCCGAAGATTCAATATTAATGTCACCATAGTATCGCAACCAATTCCTCCCAAAGGATGTCAGAATTATTGGATATGCGCGAACGAAGATGGACCACGAGGAATATATTAAGAGAGTTAGATCATATATCAAGACTCCCACCAAGGATATGGAACAGCAACTTCAAGAGTTCTGCGATATCTGTACATATATCTCTGGACAGTATGATAAGCCAGAGGGTTTCATCGAGCTAAGAAAACACTGCGAGGAGTTCGAAAAGGGAAGAAAAGAAGCCAACAGAATCTTCTACATGGCCTTACCTCCTTCCGTCTTTACAACTGTATCCCAACAACTAAAAGCAAACGCCTATCCAGAGACCGGTGTTGCAAGAATCATTGTAAGATACACGATTTCCACACGATTGAATACTATTGCTAACAACTTGTAGGTTGAGAAGCCATTTGGAAAGGATTTGGGAAGTTCCCGCGAGTTACAAAAGGCACTGGAGCCAAACTGGAAGGAAGATGAGATCTTCCGTATCGATCATTACCTTGGAAAGGAGATGGTCAAGAACATTTTGATTTTGAGATTTGGTAACGAGTTTTTTGGTGCTACATGGAACCGAAATCACATTGACAATGTTCAAATCACATTCAAGGAACCTTTTGGAACCGAAGGCCGAGGAGGTTATTTCGACGAATTCGGTATCATCAGAGATGTTATGCAAAACCATCTTTTACAAGTCCTCACCCTCCTCGCCATGGAGAGACCAATCTCATTCTCCGCAGAGGATGTTAGAGACGAAAAGGTTCGAGTCCTTCGCGGTATTCCAGCAATCGAGCCAAAGAATGTCATCATTGGTCAATATGGCAAATCCTTAGACGGAAACAAGCCTTCCTACAAGGAAGACGACACCGTACCAAAGGATTCGAGGTGCCCCACCTTCTGTGCTATGGTTGCATATATCAAGAACGAGCGATGGGATGGTGTACCATTCATCCTGAAGGCTGGTAAGGCTCTCAACGAGCAAAAGACCGAGATCCGAATTCAATTCAAGGATGTCACATCTGGTATCTTCAAAGATATCCCAAGAAACGAGCTTGTTATGCGCATTCAGCCAAACGAGAGTGTTTATATTAAGATGAACTCCAAGTTGCCAGGTTTGAGCATGCAAACTGTTGTCACTGAACTCGACTTGACTTACCGCCGCCGATTCTCTGATCTCAAGATCCCAGAAGCATACGAATCCCTCATTCTTGATGCTCTTAAGGGTGATCACTCCAACTTTGTTCGTGATGATGAGCTTGATGCAAGTTGGAGAATCTTTACCCCACTCTTACATTACCTCGACGACAACAAGGAGATTATCCCCATGGAATACCCATACGGTAAGAAATATTTATATTATTCACCCTATACTTTCATAACCAACAAAAAACTAATCTGATAATAGGCTCCCGTGGACCCGCCGTCTTGGATGACTTCACCTCTTCCTACGGATATAAGTTTAGTGACGCAGCTGGTTACCAATGGCCAACCACCCAAACCGCTCCTAACAAGCTGTAAATTGGTGTGTTAGTCGCCAATAAATGAACAACTAGATACCTGGTATGAAGGCATGAAATTGATAAATAGATACGACGATTCATGAGGGATTCCCATACACATATTTGGATGGTGGTTTTTCTTCATATTTATGATAGCTGAATGAAAAGCTAAATTTACATAATGGACAAAATCATGCTTTACTTGTGGGAGGTGACCAACAAACTTTTTTGGGGTCGTATTATCTCATTTGTGATCATACTCCGACAAGTTCACCCACAATTAAGTCGCAACTCGGGATTAAGTATTCGTAAATCCGAAGTCCTCTAGTGAAGACTTACATCCATTCTGTGGATTTGATTACTATATGCCTGAGAGAGAGGATGTCAGACTCATCATACAGTCTCAATCATTACGGCACCTATTTCTTTCTTCATCATCCTTCTTGCCAAGTTACTTTACGAATCAGAGATGAAAACTGGTTGTGAGATGATTGAATGGTGGAGATGGTAGAGATGAAGGTAAGCTGGGAATTCTCTAAGATTTCGTGCTCTTGCAATATTATATGTAAGGATGTTTTAAGAATGAAATGGGTTGGATTGGATTGGATTGGATTGAATATTCATCATGAGAATTTTGGGGTGTGGAAAATTTGAATTGAACACTGAGCTTTTGGTTTGTTTGTATTTTTCCCTGTTTACGAGGTGGATGGATGGATGGAATCTTGATTATCGAGTTTTTTTTATTAGAAAAATAGTGGCGTGGTGATGTATGTGTATGGGTATGGGTATGTGTAGGAGGGGATTCTGTGGATAGAGGGGTAGAGAGGTTTGTTGCGCGATTTTTGTCTTCTTTTCTCTTGCGTTGTACTGCGTTGTACTGCGTTGTGTTGGGTTATGAGACTCTAGAAGTGTTCTTGCGGGGTTTGTATACGCGTTGCCATGGTCAGCGTAGCATTACCTATAGATAAACTGAATCGATTCAGAATTAAGGAAGGAGGGGTGCGGGATGTCATTGATACTGATACTTGGAGGATCACACGCGGAGGGGGGGTCATTATTGAGCTATTTTTCTTTGAGCGGCTTCTTTGGGTGGGCGGAGGAGGAAAAGGATTTGTCTTCTTCTCGCAAATTAGATGGGAGAGTAGAATAATATGTACTGAATAAGTAGTTCTCAGATCGCTATTCTCACTTACTACATAAACTTAGGCGAGGTCATGCGATATGATAGTGACACATATACTGTACATCCTCGAGTACATAGCTTCGCAGATCTCTTATTTTTGTTTTCTGGAGTGAAGTTGAATGAGAGGAAGATGGAAATGAGGTGATATGAATGGCTCTCTTGGGTAGGATAGGATAGGTATGCAGGGGAGTCAATCTTGCATCATCGTATAGTGCGGAACTTTGGGTCTACAGTAGTTTGTGATATCTAATTTTTTATTTTTGGGGGGAAAGGAAAAGGTTGGATGTGTATTGTGTGTCCACTGCTCCTGCTACCATCCTATCTGACACAAGTTCCCCTAACACTCTGTGTAACTGAATATAAATCAATACTTCCATTTGTCTGTCTGTCGTTTGAAGAAGATCTTTGATATTTAGTTGGGGAGATGATATCATATCATCTTGGTTAGATTGTTCGAATTAGATGTTAGACGCAGATACATTTCATTCGTTCATTTCTTGCTCTCTCGATACAGACACGAGGATAACGGTGAAGGAATTCCCTAGCTGGTGGGATTATAGTGTTTGGACTCTGGAGAGATGTGGAGATAGTGAATGCTGCATATCGGATGCGGATGTGAGGGTTGGGGGTTCGGTTCGGGAGTTTAGGTCTTGGTGTGTGCTGGTCTGTTTGGAGTTGTCGTGATGGATTGGGTGGAATGGGTGTGGGTGTGGAGTTGATTTGGAGTAGGAGTTAAGAGGGGAAGAAAAAAAAGACAGAAAAAATAGGTATCTATTTTCTTTAAACTTCTCACAAACCGGAAAATTTGAAGTGCGGAAGTGAAAGGCGATGAATGTAAAGATTTAAATACACGGAACGTATCAAGATACAATAAACCACAGCACGACATCCATCCATCCATCCTTCACACCCCTCCACTCCTTCTTCATCCTCGAAGAGTTCAAGGTCGTCAGCTCTCAGTTATTCGGATTTACTTTCTACGATTATATCTTTCTAGTATGCTCTCGTCTAGTCCGGTATGCTCTTGTGTACTCTGCTCTGATTTTATATCTTCCCAATGTTTCATCATTTATATACACTTCCCCTCCCCCTCTCATCCATTCCTATCGTGAGTCATTACATCATTTTTGAGTTTCCATATTTCCTACCCATCTCTCTTCTCTTCCTCTTTTCCCCTTCTTCCCTCATGCATTTTGGATTTTAATATTAATACCAACCCCAACCCCAACCCCAACCCCAACAGCAATCTCAACACCAGCACATCCATCCGCACACCGAAAGAAAATCCATACAGTATCTCTGAATGATAGAGGAAAATGTGAGATTTGTGAGATTTGTGAGATAGAGAGTGATTGTGTGTACTCGAGTAGTTATCTGGCTGTGTGAGATCTGAAATCTGAGTTTACATACATGTGTATGTGATTTCTATCTCGCTCTTCTGCCTGTCTACTTGTTTATCTGTCTCCCGCTAGAGATTTGATGTATGTATGTATGTATGTATGTATATACTATATATACTACGTATACTACTCAGATCATTGCGAGAATGAAATTCTTAGGGGTATGAGTATGATTGTTTCAATCTGAGTTGCTGAGTTGCTGAGTTGCTAAGATCTTGACTTAGATTAGGTCAGGGTATGCAATGTGCGAGGACAAGAGGAGAGAAAGTATGACATACCTTGGGGAAGGGTATCCGAGGAAGGATGAATGTATGCGGCTCTGTTAGGCGAATGGAAAGGGGATGGATATTTGATTTTTGGAGGAGTGGATAGCAGAAGAGGGGGGATTGGATGGTAGTTGTAAATACCTAGATAGTTTTGGTAAGTGAAAGCTGTATCGTTATGTGTTGTGATATATGGTGGTATATCGTAATTGGCACGCTATTCAAAGGTGTGATTATGTCGTTGAACTCATGCACCAAATGTCCATTGACAAGCTATGTATTCTTACGACAGAATACCATGTATATAACACTCAAACCCTTCTATTCATACATCCTATCCATATCATACACTAAATTTCTTAATGATTCCATGAACACTTTTCATCAAATCCAAATCCTGTCCCTATCCCAATATCATTCCAAAATGAGAATGAACACCCAGTTATTTGCTGCACCAAACAGACTCGGAATTTACAATCTCCCTCTCTTCCTATATTTCCGTCTCACTTCGATTTATCCGTACCATTTATTAAGTTATTGAATAGTTTGCCCACAGCAGATGGCTATAATTCCACAAGTATTAGCCAAAATCCAATTTTTTTATCTTCACTTGAACATCTCGTCTTCCGCACGACTTCATCTCTTCTGTCCTCTCGGGTTTGTCCCAAAGTACTTCACCCAATACCCACAGCCAACACCATATATCAACGCCTCTCCAACTCTCCTTTCTGCTTCATTAGACCTCAAAGACCCTCTCCCCTCCCCCTGTAAAAAACAACAACCAACAAAAAATAAAAGAAACCTCTCACCTCAACCCTCTGATCACTAATCCCCTCACCAAACTTCTCACTCCCCACCCCCTGCTCCATCTCACTCCCCGGTTTCTGCGACTGCGAACCTAGTGTGGATGCGTAGCCAGGTGTATGGTTATTACTCGCTCCAGCGCGGGAGTACGCTGATTCTATATTTTGGACTGGATTTGAAGGTTAGTTGGTTGCGAAATAGATTAGATGAGTACGTAGAAATGCGAGGGGGGAGAAGGAATGGGAAATAGAAGAATAAGAAGGAAAAAGAAATCTCACCACCGGGAGTTTTAAATGAGGGCAGCAAATCGCTTAGAGCAGATGTGCTTTTCATATCGTCGTTGGAATTGGTGTTGGTGTTGGACATCTTGTCTCTATTCGTATGTGTATATGTATGTATATATGTATGTGTGAAATCCCAATATTCAATTCCCCAGAAACAAGAGTTCTCTTAATAAATAAACAGAAGATATATATATATATAAGTATAAAGATACCAAAAAGTAATTCGAATACAAATTCGTCTTAAGAAAGAGAGATAGAGATAGATATAGATGTAGATATAAAGTTACAAACTAAACAACACAAAACCAAATGAATCAAGAAGATATTAATACCACCAAACAGCAGAAGGGAGGCGAGAATTATTCCTCCCACATCTATCCCAGTTGGTATGGTACCTGATACTATCATACTACAGAGATAGGTGAGTTTCTCTATGAGCTAGTACCTCTACCCCGAATATGGCAATTCGATTTGAATTGCCTCCTCTCATACGTACAGGATTTGCATTCTTTCTATGCTTTACTCATTATATCATAGTATATCAAATCATAGCATCCCAAATCACATCACGAGTACGAATACCCACCTACCCTACCCTACCCACCCATCCTCGTATCTACACACCTCTCCATCACACAGCCCATACTTCTTACCTAAAACCCATAGGGATTGAAACACAGTAGTTGCTGCATTGCGTTACATCTCGTACCCAAATCAACTCGTCATACATTCCCCTCCCCCTCCACATCAATCCACATCCACAACCAAGATTCCCACAACCCCTCCGGATCCCTGATCCATCCCGGTACTGACTACTAGATACCGGAACCCGCTAGTGTAGTCCCCGAACGAAGATCTGATGCATCCACTCTGTACTTCATCCCTCGATTTGGTGCTGTTTATTCCTTGTAAGTTGTGATTTTTGAGGATTGGGAGTTGGGATCGGGGGTATTGAGTGTGTGGATGCAGATGGGGGATTGGATTATATGGTATATTTTAATATGATTTCTGGATTTGGGGATTGCAAATATGTGTATGTGTGTATATATGTATATGTGTATATGTCTGTATGGAGTATATATGTATGTATGGAGTATATATGTATGTATGGAGTATATTAGGAATAATATTAGGAATTACATTCATTCATCGATGGGGTATTTATTGTATTACAGAATGATGTGATGCGAGACGACATGAATAAAAAGATAGATGAACATATTTTGGAATTGTTTTTTGATATAATTTAAAAAGTTATCATCACAAGTAATCCATATCGACCATCTCCACCTCCATCCCCATCTGTCAATCGCAAAATCCGAACACCGTTCCTACTGCGTCGCTAGCAATCAACAAATGCCCGCTATCATTGTAAATCGATCTTATGTCTCCTCTTCTACCCGGTGTACGTTCGTTCTCCTGACGCCTGTGCTAGTTTCCAACCCATCCACATCCACACTCATAGTTCTAATCATATTCATATCCGTATCGATATCCCCACACCCTGTTCTCCCACGATATCCTCAAACACCATTCTCACTCACTGCCCCTTGACAATTCTACAATCACAATTATTAGCCCAAGTTCCATTCAATCCTGAGCCTCTATACCCCCTCTCCCCTTCTCCCTACCCTTCCCTCTAAACACCACAGTGAAAAAAGAATAAAAAACTTACGAATTCCACATCTGTCCCACGAATCCCGCTTTGGGAGCCTGCTCTGCAAAACTCTCTCGTCTAGCCTTTGAAGCTGCATCACTGCTTGAGCGTTTTTGATTCTGGAGTCCGGAGAAGAGAGTGCCTTCTTGAGAGCCCTGTGTTTGTGTTGTTGATTAGTGAGGGTTTCTGAATGGGAGATGAATAGAGAATGAATGAATGTATTGGTGTGATGTTTGTTCATCTTGATGGGGAGAATAGTGGAAGGGAAGACGTCAAGATGGTCTTTGAGGAGAAGTGAGGGGACATACACGTCTGTAGTTGATGTTGTTGGCTGGAGTAGCGACGCTGCCGGTTCCTCCCTTGACTGCGGTTGTTTGTTGGGAATTCATTGTTGTTGATTGATTGACTGATGGATTGAAGTGTGTTGTGTTGTGTTGTGTTGTGGCTTTGTGAGAAGAAGTAGTAAAGACAATTGGTATTTGTATTGAAATGTTGATGAGGTATAAGAATGGATTCAAAATAACACGAGAAAAGCTCTCCTAATATACTTCGATACATCTCTACTACCCCCCTCCTCCCTCCTCCCCTCCACCAATTCCCATCCAGCTAGTCCGAGCCTCCAAACCCCTCAAGCTTCATGAGCAGATAGCTAGTAGATCCAATAGCATACGATCCGCAACCCCCTTGCCAATCAAACTCTATCTTCACCTATCAAACAAAGGAGATCTTGGGAAAGGAATTCATTTTGATCCAATCAATCGATTCATAATCATGATTCAGGACATGTTTTTCGATCTTCGATCCTGTACCACCAAATCATAGCCAAATACTCGAGTACACATCTCACGTCAAGATATCACTTTACCCCGCAAACCTGGCGTGATTCTTTACCATGTACTCACTAGACATGCATATCCATATTGACAATCAAGGGTCTCCTCATGACATTCATTTGATGTGAAGATGGTAGTAGTATTAACATGTTCAACACTTCATCAAAGCAAAGCAAGTATCGTCGTATTCGTACTATTATCTAAGCAGGGAAATATCAATTTATACTTTCACACTTCTCATACCAGAGCATCATCATATCAAAGAACAATTCAATTGGAGATAGAAATCGAAGTCTATGGAGGTCCATCGATCGAGCACGAGCATGGATTTCAATGATGTGGTGGTGAGCTTGGAATGTGGGGGGATCCATATAAACCAATGACGAATTGACTACCACACCATGCATTTGGGGACTGGAAAGAGAGAAAGTTTGGGGTAAGGTTAACCCTTGATCATCGGTGTTTTAAAGTTCCGATGGCCGACTTTGATTTTCACTCCCGTCGGGTGTTTCTGATATCGAAGATTCAAAGTATCCTGGAGAGATAAGTAGGAATCGATGAATTGATTTTCTTTTTCAAAATAGTCTGCCTCCACGGCAGTGGCCCTCGGAGAGCCAGCGGAGCGTCATTCCCCATTTTTCCATTCTCCCATTCATTGATAGAAATTCAATTGACAGCTTGTAAGACAATATGGGGGCAAGCTCCCAAACCCCCCTTGGATCGCTGCGCTCGAGCTTCTCTTCATCTTTTCATATCTTCTTCATTCCAATACCAGATTGCAATGCATAACGTATCTACCTATGTAAAAGAAAGGAAGACTAGAAGGAGGAAACAATAGTCCGCTGACTTCAAATGTAGCTCTGAAAACCACTCTCAAGTATAAACACTTGTAGTAATCTGCCCAAGTTGATTTCACTTCTAGATTCCAGCTCTCGAACATCAGGAACACCCGGAGAATTTTGGATAACGCTGGTAGTATCTGATATATTCCATGAAACCTTTACACACTTGTGCAATCTCAAATATATGGCGAGATACCGTATTGTTCACAGATTTGTGTTTGTTCAAAGGTATGGTTGAATACTTCACAGTTCACAAGAACCGGTATAAGTTGAGGGAGTTGAAGATTGGTTTTGATTTTGATTTTGCTATAAATCTATTCTATTGCACATCCATCAACGAATCTAGAGCAATCTAGAATCTCGTACTCTTGTTTTTCAATGCGTTGAAGCAAAGAAACGCTATGTGTGGCTCATATATTCCATTGTTCTGCTCCAATACCCGCGATATTACACCCGGCTGTTCAGAATATCACCAATAACACGCAAGTTAAAATGTGAGGTTGGTGTGAATTTTGTTTTATTTCATATCACAAATATGCAATCAGCACTTGCAAGAAAAGCCGGCAAGCCGGTCGGTCTCTAAGGCCGCAGACTTGATCCGAATAGGAAGCAAGCTGAACAGTTGGATGAACTGCTTCATTGTAATCTGATCCGTAGATGCAGTAAAGTACAACCATTGATGCCCCTTGTTTTCCTGTCAATAACTCCATAAGCCCACGTTACGACAAAATCCTGAAGAACTCGCCGAATCGATACACTTGAAGCCCATGCCATATTTTTTAATCGAAACGCTTATCTGACGATACCCTCGAAACGGTTCTTGAACCATCTAGGTTGAAATGTTAGCGTAACCATTGACATTAGATTCTTCAGTTTACACATACTTGACGGTCTCATCACGCTTGATCTTGTGGTTGGCACCAATGGAGGTCTTGCAGCGACGACGCTTGGCAACACGCTCACCTGGGCGGGTCATGCAGGCGTAGAAATCCATTCCGTAAATACCAATCGCAGGGTCGTACTTGATACCGAGATCGATATGTTCGGAGATACCGAAACCGAAGTTACCGGTCTCGGAGAAGTTGCGCTTGCGGAGCTCATATTCCTTGACCTTCAATCCACGCTCCAAAATTTCCTCAGCCTTTGGGCCACGGACGGTGACGTGAACAGCGATCTTTTCGTTACGACGGATACCGAAGGTACGGACAGTGTATCTAGCCTTGCCTGTGGTTTGAATGTTAGAAAAACTTCCCATGAATTATTGGTATAATTGGTATGTGCCTACTGTAAACTGGGGTTTGACCACTCAATTGTTCCAAAACTTTGGCAGCACGGGTAAGTCTGTCACCAGATTCTCCGACGGAGATGTTGAGAACGAGCTTCTGGATTTTAAGCTCCTTCATGGGGTTTGCGGTCTTCTCTCCGGATGCAGCCATTTTGAATGATGCTGTTACGATTAGTCGTGAGGAATTGTCGTTTTTCGTCGTGGATCGTCAAATTCAAAAACAAATTCGAAATGATCCAAAAAGTTATATTCGCTAATAAGTGCGCAAACCCTAAAAGGTGGGCGACGATGTTTAGGTAAGCATTTCTTGTAGCCTTGTGTTTGAGGCTTCAATACTTTTTCATTTGAAGCTCGAGCCAGCCTTGTACAATCTTGAAGAACCTCATATCAAGAACTCATATACTCATAATAGAGCTGTGAAATCAAAAGAAGTCATCGAACTTCTATACACATTCTTTGAAAATCAGAGAGCCGTAATAACGCGCACTCAAAAGTCATCAGCATGGCAAACAAGCAGGGAAAGATGGTGAGTTTAATACCCCCTTCTTAAAACCATTACAAGCTTGTGTTGACATTATAGGCTGACATTCACTCTTTCTACAGGCCGGTCTCGTATGTGATATCCTTCAATGCAACTATTGCAGCTTTGCGCGACCCTTTCGACCTGAGATGTGGACTGATTGAGTTATAGATCAACTACCGGATGAGAGTGACAATGAATGATGGGCGTCAAATGGTCGGACAGATGTTAGCATTTGATAAGGTCGAGTTCCTATGCATCAATCACAATGGGTTATGCTAACTATTCAATAGCACATGAACCTCGTTCTCGCGGATACCGAAGAATTCAGACGCGTCAAGCGCAAGGCACCAAAAACTACAGCTGCTCCTGGAGCTAGTTCCGCTGCACCACCTCTTGTTGAAACTGAAGAAAAGCGTACATTAGGTCTTACCATTATTCGAGGCACACACGTTATATCTCTTTCTGTCGAATCACCACCACCAGCAGATCCAAGTTCTCGTTTAGGTGCCAGCGTCCCAGGTGGTGCTGTACCATCAGCTGCTATGGCCGCTGGAACTGGAATCGCGCGACCAGCTGCTGGAAGAGGGGGCTTGGCTGGTCCTGCTGTTGGAATTGGTGGTTTCCCGGGCATGCCAGCTCCTCCGCCATTTGGAAGAGGTGCACCACCTCCAGGATTTGGTGGTGGATTTCCCCCTCCAGGTTTCCCTGGTCCACCTGGCCCACCAGGAGGTTTCGCTCCACCTCGCAGATAGATATCTGAAGAATAATGGGTTACACGATCATGTCAAATTGAATCTTAAAGAATATTCTCAGAGGAGCGTACTGCATATAATCTGATGAAAGGTCAAGGCATATTGAACATGATGATCGGTGAAGAAATAAGAGAAGAGAGATCCAAAGGAAACTCGTGGACATGCATGATAGGGGCAATGCAGAGAAGGTTAAATTCAATCAGAATAAAGGCGTTGAGGGGTGGCTTTTGACTTCACATACCAAAATTCGCAAATTTGTAGCATAAAAGCAAGCAAGCAAAGCGACAACGCTAATTGAATTCTATATAATTTTGCTCATTCTCCCAATGCAGGTGTTGTAGTTCTCACTCACATCATTAAATTGTTTCAATCTTACCATGTTCTCTTCTCATTTTCCCCAAAACTCACCCATCAAAATCCAGTTCCGTCCCCACGTGACACAACCTCAAAACACAATCTCGGACAAATTCAAGGTAAATCCGATCCCAGCAAGTAGTTCCGTCCGTCCCATCAAAACCTCTTTTGGCAGCTGGGTATCAAACAACAACAAACACATCACCATCCAGAATACCTCAGAAAAATATTCAAGATGGCTGCGTTGGTCAAGGCTATTAATGCGAAGATTCGTAGTAACCCTGCGGTTAGCTATGTTTGTTCTACTCGTAAGTTCTTTTATTCTTTCTAAACTAGGAAAGAGGGAAGGAGGAAGTGAGCTGGAGTTTCGGGATGGGTGGGCATTGAGAGGACCAAATTGAGAGATGCGTGGAGAATTAGAAGTGATCTGAGGAGGTGAAGGTTGATTCCAGTATTGGGAAAGGTTAAGAGTGAGAATGAGGGAAATGGGTGGGGAATTGACGGGTCAGAGAAACTCGGATTTCAAAATCCAGATTTCGCATTCGCAGCTCTGGAATCTCGCAGAGCGTATGGAATTTATCCATGAGATTACCTACTAACTCTATGATCAGATTTCTGGGGTCCAGTCTCCAACTTCGGTATTCCCGTCGCCGCAGTAATGGACACACAAAAGAGTCCTGATTTGTATGTCTCTATTTTCTCCCCTCTTCCAAATTTAAATTCAAATCTTTAAAATCAAGTAGCTAACAATCTCTCTGCAAATAGGATTTCGGGTAAAATGACTTTGGCACTCTGCATTTACTCCGCAACTTTCATGCGCTACTCCCTCGCTGTCACACCACTTAATCCTCTTCTCTTTCTCTGCCACTTCGTAAATGA